TTTTATCCCAGATGTAGGCAGTCTGGCACAGGCTTCTTTACCATTGCTCTTTTAGGATCAGTTGTATTTGCTATATTTTCATATTATATATGGTTTTGGAAGGAAGTTTCTGTCTCACCTCTCATGGCACATTCTTTTCCAATGGTCCATTTTTTAATGTATTTTTAATTCAGTTTCCTAGTATTTTGTTTAGGATTTTTGCATCTATGTTTATAAGGGACATTGGTCTATTTCTTCTTTCTCACATCTTTTTCTAGTTTTAGTATTAGAGTGATGCTGGCCTCATAGAATGAGTTTGAATGTAATCCCTCCTCTTCTGTTTTTTGGAATTCTTTAAGAAGGATGGATATCATCTCTTTCTTAAATGTTTGGCAGAATTCACCTGTGAAGCCATATGGTCCTGTGCCAGGAGCTGACCTACTCTGCCTGCCTGATGGCACAGCCCAGGAGGCCAATGGATGGATGCTGCACAGTGGACCTTCAAAGGGAAAGCTACTGATATCTCTTCTATTGCTTAATTTGACTATTCCCCTAGATTTGAATGGCCCTCATGAATCAGAAAAATCCCCTAGAGAAAGGACTGTTAGGAGCCATAGAGCAATCATAAAACTCAGCTTGTGACCCTGCACATTCCCCTCAGGCTGGTGGGTTATTACCCCTGGACTGGGAATAGAAGAAAGTTCAGGTGAATTCAGGGTACAGCTCCCAGGCTAACTTGGCCCCCAGGAGGAACAAGAGATGACCATCATGAGGTACGTGTCAGAAAAGCAGGTGGGAAAATCTTGGTAGAGTCCCCTTATGAATCATTACTATAGAAATTAAAGCATGCATTGTTATAGTCTAGATCAATAGAATGAGTGCTGCTCATTCTACTGTAAGTGGTTTCAGGGAACTATGGAAAAACATGCCCCCACAGCAAGCCTAGGTGGGAGTCCAGTTAAGCAAGTTTTAAGACACATTCAAAAGACATTATGGTGCCTTCTAGAAATTTAACCTGAGATTGGAGCAACAGAAAAATCTTGAGGAAAAGACCATATTGACCTTTCATTGTTGGGAAAGCAGTGGAACATTCTGAGAAGCAGATTATGCCATAAATCACCTAATAACACATGCTTTATGATGATTTTATGTAACGAATCCCCTATATATTGCTTGAAGTTTCTATCAATAAACAGTCCAGCTTAGCATCTTTGCTAGTGTCTGTGTCCTCACTTGCCGATGCCATTCCTCCTTCAAGGACCCCTGGACTCGCTGGAGCTGGACTCCAGCAGTCATAGACTTTTGTTTGTTGGGAGTTTTTTTTATTACTAATTAAATTTCATTACTGATAATCAGTCTCTTCAGATTTTCCATTTCTTCGTGGGTCAATCTTGTATGACTATACATTTCTAGGAATTTTTCATTTTTTCCACATTTGTCCAATTTTTAGCATATAATTTTCATATAATTTTCTTATAATTCTTTGAATTTTGGTGGTGTCAGCTGTAACTTCTCCTTTTTCAATTCTCTCTCTTTTTGTGCTTATTTTCTTGGTAAGTATGGCTATGGGTTTGTCTGTTTTGTTTACTTCTCTAAGAACTGGTTTTTTGTTTTATTTAGTTTTTGTACGTTTTCTTATTCTTTGTTATTTATCTCTGCTCTGATATTTATTATTGGTCCCTCCTTCCCTAACTTTCATCTTTCTTTGTTCTTGTCCTAGTTCCTTTAGTTGTGAGATCAGATTATTTGGGATTGTTCTTGTTTCTTGAGGTAGGCCTGTATTGTTATGTACTGCCCTCTTAGAACTGCTTCTGCTGCATCCCAAAGATTTTGAACTGTTATGTTTCTGTTTTCATTTCTCTCCATATATTGTATGATTTCTTCTTTTATTTTTCCACTGGTCCACTGATTCTTTAGAAGCATGTTGTTTCCCTTCATGTGTTTTTGGATTATTTTGCTTCATATAATTGATTTCTTATTTCATACCAATGTGGCCTGAAAAGATGCTTGATACAATTTCAGTCTTTTTAAATTTATTGAGGCTCTTTTTGTGTCCTATGTGGTCTAAATGGAGAACATTCCATATGCATTTTAGAAAAATGTGTATCCTGCTGCTTGGTGTGGAATTTTCTATCTGTACTTTAAGTCCATCTGGTCTATTGTGTTAATCAATGTCTCTGTTTCCTTATTTATTTTCTGTCTGGATGATCTATCTATTGATGTAAGTGGGGGATTAAAATATTATTATATGATTTTATTGCTGTCTTTCTCCCTTTAAATCTGTTAGTTTTTCTTTTATAAATTTAGGTGCTCCTATGTTTGATGCATGGATATTTATAATTGTTATAACCTCTTGGACTGATACTTTTATCCTTACATAATATCCTTCTCTGTCTCTTGTGATTTTCTTTGTTTTGAAATCTATTTAATCTGATATAAGTACTTCCACTCTTTCCTTTTTCTCCCTATTATTTTCATCAAATATCTTTTCCATCCCTTCACTTTCATTCTATATGTCTTTAGGTCTGAGATGAGTCTCTTTTATACAGCATATAGATGGGTCTTGTTTCTTTATCCATTCTGCCACCTGTCTTTTGATTTGTGTGTTTGGTTCATTTCCATTTAAGGTAGCTATTGATAGATATGTACATATTGCCATTTTATTATTTATTAGTTGGTTTTGTAGTTCTTTGTTCCTTTCTTCCTCTCTTATACTCTCTTTTGTGATTTGATGATTTTCCTTAGCATTATGCTTGGATTCCTTTATGGTTTTTTTTTGTGTGTGTCTATTATAGGCTTAAGATTGTGGTTACCATAAGGTTCATAGATAGTTTCCTAAATATGTAACTGCCTATATTAAGTTGATGGTTACTCAGTTTTGAACCCATTCTGAAGGTACTGCTTTTTAAATGTTCCTCCCCATACTTTATGTGTAATATGTTGTAATTTACATATCTTTTGTATAGTTGTGATTTTTTAAACTTCATACTTGCTTTGTATAATTGGGCGTATTTGTGTGCATCCTTTTATAGGCCATTAATTTCATTCCACTGTTCTATTTTTCTCTTCTTCCACTAATATATTGTCCTGATTACTGTGACTTTAGTCAGATTACCACAGTCAGTCTTTATATCAGGTAGCAGCTGTCCTCCAACTTTGTTCTTCCCCCTCAATATTATGTTGTATCTTCTGAGTCTTTTGTTTTGACAAATAAACTTTAGGGTTATTTGGTGATATCTATAAAGTAACTTGCTGGGATATTGACTGTAATGCATTGAATCTCTAGATGAAGTGGGAAGAATTAATTGACGTATTGAAAATATTGAGTCTTTCTGTCCACAAACATGAGGTATATCACCATTTATTTGTTCTGTTATTTTTTTATCATGGTCTTCCTCATACGCATTTTGTATATACTTATATTTAAGTATTTCATCTTTTGGGTGTTAATGCAATTGGCATTGTGTTTTTTATTTCAAATTCCACTATTTCATTGCAGATATATAAAAATAAATTAATTTGTGTATATTAATCTTGTATCCTGCAATCTTGGTACAATCTGTTATTAGTTCCAGAAGTATTTTTTTTATTCTTCTGGATTTTCTACATAGATGATCATGTTATCTGCAAGGACAGTTTTATATCTTCCTTACAGTCTGTATACAATTTACTTGCTCCTCTTGCCTTTTTGCATTAGCAAGGATTTCCAGGACAATGTTGAAAAGAAGTGGTAAGAGAGAACATCCTTGCCTTTTACCTGATTTGGAGGAAAAGTTTGACTTTTTCACTAGAGTAGTTAATTTTTGAGATGTTTATATATTAAGGCGGAATTTATCTTTCTCTAATTTTTATCTTCACTCTCCCATATTCAACATTTTCTCTGATTTTTTCAGTTATATATGCCACATTATCACATCTTCATTCTTTTTAGTCATTCTTCTTGCCATTGTGCCTACATGCTTATTAGGCTCTCAGAGATGAAAATGTAATCCCAAGAGCTATCTGATTGGAGCAGAAGAAATACGTCATTTAAAACCATGGACCTCAACCTTTGCTGCATAATAAACTCACCTGGAGAATATTTTAAAACACTGATGCCTGAATTTTAGCTCCAGATAGTCTGACACAATCGATCTGTGTACAGCCCAAGCACTGGGAGATTTATAAGCTTATTGAATGATTCTAATGTATACTTTGGGATGGGAAACATTAATGTTACACTGTGCTTGTGTTCTTCAAAGACATATAAGCCATTTATATTAATAAATATTAATAAATAAATAGACGTCAATATAGCAATGGAACTCCTAGCCTATTTGTTTTTCAAGAAGTTAATCAGCAAATAAACCTGTACTTCAGTTTTATGCCATGCAAACCATAACTTTTAAAAATATACTTTATTTGGAGCAGATAATCCTTTTGTTGTTGAATAAAGTCATGTCAAAGACCCAGACCTGTCTCTAATGGAATTAAAAGTGATATTATCTCCTAATATCACTAATGACTAATTTTAAGTCCCACAGATTTAATAAGACCTCACAAGTAAATAAAAAGTAACTGAATGTGGTCCTTTAAGTTATTTCTTTCTAAAATTATCCTAATTTCAGTTAATGAAGAACTTATCAGGCTTTCTTTCAAAAAGTCTTTACTAATTAAAGTATCAACAAATTTGTCCTAATCCATGCTATATTTTAATATATGTATTTTTAGTGAGCATGGATCTTTCAAGTTTATTTGGTGAGATTTGTTGGGAAATGCAGACAGAAAATGTACTTCAGAAAAACTAAAGTGTTTTAAATATGAGGGTTTTCATAGCTGTGGACTCAATGTGGACCCACTTAAAGTTTAAATCAAAAATTAAATTTCATATATGATTTTTTGCTCTGAACATGAAATTTTGAGGCTGTTATTAAGATCAAATTCTGATGATTATGTTTGATAACAGGAGAAAAGACGAGCATATTCCTGGAGATGTGCCACCATAGTGTGCTTTGAGTCACAACTGCACGTTTGTTTTACAGCTAATGGACAAGTTTGAGCATCTTAAAAGAGTCCAACAAGAGAAGACAACGAAACTTGAGAAGAAGAGAAGACAACTGGAAGAAGAAATAATGCATTTTCATAAAATGAAGGCTGCCTCTGAAACACTGCAGACTCAAATCTGCTCAAATATAAAGAAGAGTAAAGATCAGAAGAAATAGTCCTCTCTTACCATTTTGTGTGATGCCAATATTTCCATTTTGCTCTGTTAGTCTTTGATCCTATCTTCCTATGAGATTGCCTTCATAGCACTAGAAGCTCTACTACTATTTAAAATGCTTTCTTATTGCATATTCTCTTAAAATAGAATGTGATCTCCTTGAGAGAAGGTAATTTTAGATGCTATATCCTCAGTATTCATAGCAGAAGCTAGCACAGAGATGGCATTCAATAAATATTTTATAAGATAAAAAAGAAATATGTATAACAGTGCACAAAATCTTGATTTTTTTATTTAACCCTGACTGTGGCTCCAGCACACAGGTATGATTTTTTTTCTAATCTAAATACATGTAGGTGATTTGTCAGGAAGTCATAGGCATAAAATATTATGGTATAATGTCAGGGAAGAGTATAAAACCTAAATGTAATTTATTCCCACTAGGATGTTTCAACATTTTTAACAGTAAGGTATTAACAAAGTGCCACGTGGTGAAAGTTGCTTGGGCCAAGTGGGGGTGGGGGAATTGATGTGGGTCTGGTGATACCTGTTTGAGCTTCTCTAAACCTACCAATAAGGTTAAGACAAATGTAAAGGAAAGATATAACGGGCTTAGGAGACATCTGGGGAAGAATGTGAACCCTGTAGTACTCAGCCAATGAGGAACCAGGGGAGGGACTCAAGCACTAGGAAATAAATTACTGGTGCCTAACTCCCCAAGTGTGCCTGCCCACCAGACACCCGATCTTGCAAGACCATCATTAAAGCCTTGCTCCACTGTTCTCTTGGTCTCCATGTCCACTTATTGAATTTGGACCAGTGAGTGTGTTTCTCACATATAACAAACAATTTCTTAGGGCTAATTTCCCTTATCAAATTCTACTGATAGTGATTTATTGATAGTTTTTATTATTATCAAAGATTGAGTTTTTATTAGAACTCCTATACCTTATTGTTATACCTTGTAAAACTAATATTGGAATAAAAACTTCAGAAGTTAGATAGAGTCAGAGAACAATGGGAAACCATGAGCAATATTTAGATAATAATAGTATGTCTTACAATTTTGGATATATGTTAAAACTAAATTTATCATTTTAGAAAATAAGGTGGATTGTTTTTTGCCATTTCAAAATTTCCTTCTGAATATACATCCTGAAATTTCTGCATTTACAATGTCAGGACACCTGTTTGTGTGGCTGACCTTCACCATGATCCATTCTATTAAAATGCTACCATGGAGCATTTTTGTTTATTCCAAAAACATCTGGAATAGTGAACAGATATTTCCTGTTCCTAAACAATGTTTATCTCTGTTGTAATTTTATCACTGCATTCATTTCAAAGACAGCATTTTTTTCTGTGTATCAGAATATTGTAATTTAGTCTCAAAATTTTTGTGAACATATAATCTCTGATTATAATACTTCTTGAAAAAGTTTGAAATTTTGGGGACATGGACGTATATCCAGTGTTTTCTATATATGTTATTAAATCATCTTACATATTTTATAGTTTTGGGAAATAAATAAGGCTATTGTATGAAATTTCATGTAAGCTACATGGACTAGAATCTTTTTCTTAGGGTTAGAACAGTGCCTGGCACTTAGTGGCAACTGTTCATTCAATAAATAAACACAATAATAGCACATTAACCATATTCATTCAATAAAATAATAATATTACATGAACAATATTACATGCATAGATGGTTTAGTTTAGATTTTTGACTTTTAGAAGATAATTAATATAACTTGTTTCTGCTTTTCAACATGCTACTGAGTTATCCTGCTAAGGGACATTCATCTTATTTTTCTACAGTAGTCTTATTAAACTGAAGTCACCAATAATTATAACATATAATAAACAAAATTAATTGTAAAGATCACTCTTGAATATGATAATGAAGTTTTGGGGTAACTATGTCACAATCCATATTTTTCTCCATTTAATTATTTTTAGTTTTTATTGAAATATATTTTATATATAATGTTATGTTTGTTTCAAATGTACAACATAGTGATTCAACAATTATATATTATTGATCACCATTATAAGGGTAGTTACAATCTATCAACATATAAAGTATTTACAATATTATTTACTATATTCCCTCTGCTGTACTTCCATTCCCATAACTAATTTATTTTATAATTGTAAGTTTGTATATAGTTTATCAGGAATATTCACCCTAAATATAATGTGTGTGTTATTTTTCATTCATTTCCAAAAGTAGAGAACAAGTTGATTTAGTAATATAAGGCAAACATTTGCTCTTTATATAATTGTAAGTCTGGGGAGAGGAAATTCTGGGGCAAAATATCTCTAAAACCAAAATGAGTCAAAGGGAGAAATAGTTTAAAACCCATTTATTGCTTACAAACTACGGTCCAGCGCCATCTCTCTCCTGCTCCTGCTCTAGCAGAAGCAAGCAAGGACCTCCCTCTAACCTCTCAGGTTCAGATAAGCCCTTAGTTGCCCAGGTAATTACCCACTGATATGGAGATGAACTTCTCTCCACCCCTGAGAATATGTAAATGCACTAAAGCAAGGCAAGATATTCTGGAAATGTTACAATTTTACCCATAGGCCACTCCTCCAGAAATCTCGCCTTACAATCTACTCATTCCCCTCCTTCTATGATGTTCCCTGGGCGAGAAAACTGGAGCATTATGATCAGACTAATGACATACAATAACAGCAGCAATAAAATTGTTAGGCAGGAAAATACATATGAGCGGGGTGGAAAGAGAAAAAGGCCAGAAAGTCCAATAAAAAAGACTCAAAATGAATCAATTAAAGCTCAAAAAGCCAAGAACAACTTGGCTTGGAATGTTTGAATATTTCCCAGATAAAGTAAGTTACGTCAGTTATGCTGGGGTTCTTGTTTGTGGAGCCAAAGAATGAGCTTCACAGTCAAGATAGGAGAGCAAGGTGCAGGCTTTTATTTAGAGATTAAGTGGAAGGACAGAGCTCCCAGCTCATGCCAGGAGGGGACAAGAAAGTCCATAGTGGTGTGTTGTCTAGGGAGTTTTATAGACAGTTGAGGATTTTTTGAGAATGTGAAAAAGAGTTTAGGGGTATGAACTTGTTAAGAGTTCCTGAATATTAAAAATTAAGTGTTAGGCTGGAGGAAGGAAAAACAAGGACATGCAAACAGAACAGAGAGATACCGTAAAAGGAGAACAGACCAGACCCCAAGGTCCATGATTTATATGGAAAGGAGACAGCTCTTCCTGAATTCCATCCTTCTGATGTGCCAACTAAGAGCTGGATGTCAGCTTCCTCCCGCTTGGAAGGAAATAAAGTTTCTAGTTGTCTATCATGTCACCTTTAGCCAATCATACTTATCCATGCCCCCTAGGATAGCTTCCCCACTCCTCCCCTCTTAACCCCTTATAAGCCCCCACCTCCCTGACCGGGCATGACTTCTCCAGCCTCTATTTATGTAGATTGGTGAACCTCGCCCGGGAATTGCACTCAAATAAACTGCCTGGCCCTTTGTTGCCTCTCATCACCTGCTTGTTTTGGCTAGAATTTATCTTACATTTGGTGCTGAAAAAAAACAGGAAGGAGCATGAGCATGGGGCTCTGAGCGGCCATCAATGGCCCTGCCCCCTCCTTCTCCGACCCAGGACTTCAGCCTGCTCTCCGCAACATGGACTATTTTCTGGTGAGTCCCTCAGTTTCCCCCAGTCTGTTTCCCTTCCTAACTCCGTTTCACCTGGTCCATCCGAAATCATAGCTACATCCAGGTTGGGGCATCCAGACTCTGGGCATCCAGCCCATCTGCTGCGGGCATCTGGGATACCCATCCCTGACCCTGCAGGGTGGGAGATGTCCCTCACCCAGGCTCCCAGGACGTCTCCCCTGACTTGGTGCACATGGAACCCTGGGCGCTCCTCTCAGCAGGATTAGTTAGGGAGTGGTGCAGACATGGGGAACCAGCCCTCAAAAGCGGAGGCTCAGACCCCATTGCGGTGTCTCATTTCTAATTTGGCTACTCTATATTTGTCCCAGGAAGTTCGCAAATGGAAGTTAGTCTTCCTTTGCTCTCAGGCCTGGCCTCAGTATCCCTTGGACAACCAGTCTCACTGGCCCTCTGAGGGAACTTTTGATTTTGGCCTCCTCACCATCTTGACTAATTATTGCCACCAGAGCAGAAAGTGGAGTGAAATCCCATATGTGCAGGCCTTTTGGACATTGAGCACCCACCCAGATCTATGTGTTATGTGTACTCCTTCCCAAGTTTTGTTAGCCGAGGCCTCCACCAAGGACCACCAATCCCTACCATTCCTATTACTGGGAGGTTCTTCTCTGACAGACTCAGTGGAGGATCTCGGCTACCATCCTTCCTTCTCCTCCAGGCCCACCATGGGGGCCAGCTCCCTTCCTCAATGTTCATGTCCTCACCCCTCCTCCCCCCTCTCTCTCTTTCCACCATCTTGTTCCCTTCTCTTCCAGTTTCTCCACCACCTTGTTTTCCTCTTCTGGTTTCTCTGCCATCTTGTTCCCCTTCTCTTATGGTTTCTCCGCCATCTTGTTCCCCTTCCCTTCCAGTTTCTGCACCATCTTGTTCCCTTTCTCTTCTGGTTTCTCCACAACCTTCTTCTCCTTCTCTTCTGGTTTCTTGGCCATCTTGTTCCTCTTTACCGGTTTCTCCACCATCTTGTTCCCCTTCTCTTCCAGTCATGCCACCATCTTGCTCCACAGGTGCCGACCCCACTTCGGAAAAAATGGATAAAACTCCCCCATATCTTGGTCCCCTGCCTTCAAGTTCCACATCAATTTCCAGGTTGTATCCCTCATTGCCAGTGTCACCTCCTCCATCCCCTCCTTCAAACCTGCCACTGTCCTACTCGCTGCAGCTAGCGCCCAAATGGTCTAGCCCTCCTGTAACCTGCTTTAAGTCACAGGGGTCTCAGGCTCATGTGATGGCTCCTCTGAGGGAGGTGGAGGGGGCTGAAGGGGTAGTGCAAGTTCATGTTCCCTTTTCCCTGGCAGACTTGTCCCAAGTGGAACAGCAATTGGGGTCCTTTTCCTCCAACCCCGTAATGTTCGCTAAACAGTTTAAATATCTCACTTGAGCTTACAAGCTCACCTGGCACGATGTACATGTAGTCCTCCAATCCACTCTAACCCTGGAGGAATATGACCATATCACAGCACTGTGCCAATGAGGCCCACACCACAGATGAACAGGAACCTATGGGCAGGGAAGCTGTTCCTCTACAGAAACCCCTGTGGGATTATAATTCTCCCGAGGGCGAGGCGTGCCGAGATGGCATGGTTTGCTACTTGTTGGCAGGTATGAACTCAACCACCCAAAAGGCCATCAATTATGATAAGCTTAGGGAGATTACCCAGAGGCCTGATGAGAACCTGTCAGAATTCCTCAAGCACCTCAAGGAAACCCTAGGGGCTTTTACTAAGATTGACCCGGCCTCAACGTTGGGTTCCTCTATCCTGGTCATGAATTTTATAACTCTGTCGGCTCCCGACATTAGATGCAAGCTTAAAAAGGCTGAAGATGGTCCCCAGATCCCTCTAGGAGACCTGGTAGATATGGCATTTAAAGTTTTTCATGCCTGAGAGGATGAGAGCGAGAGGTCAGCTGCCTGAATGGCAGAACAGACTCATGACATAACAGCTGCTCTGCAGCTGGCTCGTGGAGATCGTTGGGGTGTCCCTGAAAATCAACTCAAACATCCGGGCCCTTGCTTTTGGTGCGGTGAAGAAGGGCACTGGGCACAGAAGTGCCCCAACCCATGCAAACTAACCAAACTGTGCCGCAGCTGTGGTAAGTGAGGTTATTGGAAAGTGGACTGTCCACTAGGGGGTGTCCTCTTCCAGCAGCAGAGCCTTGCGAGGGGCAAATGCCCTTGAGAGGCTACCCCTCAGACCTGCTGGGCATCCTTGAAGATTGAAGATGCCTGGACTTGGGCACCCCAATCACCCTCACTGAGCCCAGGTCCAAGCTGTGGGTAGTAGATAAACCCATCTCAATCTTGGTGGACATGGGGACTACCTACTCTGTTCTCCCCTCCTTTAAAGGGCTTTTATACCCTGCTAGGATCTCCATAGTTGGGGTCAAGGGAACCCTCTCCAAGCCTTTAGAGACAGGCCCAGTGGCCTGCACTTTTCAAGGCATCCCATTTACCCATTTCTTTCTGGTCATGTCTTCCTGTCCTACACCTCTATTAGGATGGGATTTACTCTGTAAGTTAAGAGCCTCTATTTCTCTCCCACCTTTTGAACACTTAAGTCCCCTCATTGCTTTAGTCAGCAAAGGAGGGTTGGATGACAGGGACCTGAGTTTCCCAACTCACTGCACTGCTGTCAATCTGGTCGTGTGGGACATCTCCACAGCCCAGTTTTAATACACCTTAAAGACCCATCCTGCTTCCCTTCTCAGCCTCAATTCCCTATTTTGCAGGCTCACCGAAGGGGACTACAGCCTATTGATAATCGTCTACTCTCACAGGGGCTTTTAGTATCGACTAACTCTCCATGCAATACTCCCATCTTGCCAGTAAAAAAGCCTTCTAGAGCATAACGCCTCATTCAGGACCTCCAAATAATTAACAAGGCTGTTATTCCCTTACACCCAGTAGTGACTAACTCATATACTCTTCTGTCCCAGGTCCCTTCCAATACCTCTCACTTTACTGTACTTAACCTTAAAGATGCCTTTTCACTATACCTATCCACTCAGACTCGCAGCCGATATTTGCCTTCATGTGGGAAGACTCTGACACCTGACAATCTAGACAATTGACCTGGAAAGTTCTACCTCAAGGTTTTAGAGATAGCCCCCATCTTTTTGGACAGGCCCTGGCAGAGGACCTCTTGCAACATTCAATGGGCGAGAGTACTCTCCTCCAATACGTAGATGATCTTTTACTTTGCAGACTCTCAAAGGAGGCCTCAGTTCTGGACACCACATCACTTCTTAATTTCTTGGCAGACAT